TGAGTCCTAGCAGATGAAGAAGCCATGTTCGTGGCGGAGTTTTCATCATTATCACAAGAAGCACATTCTGACAGCACACCTACAAGACTGGGACGCGGGCACCTCGGGGTCGGCATTTTTGGCGGGTCGGCCGGAGTGTCTACTCTCCTTCGCTGACGATTACTCGCAGCTCAGAGAGTGGGGAACTGATGATGGATATATTGGGAATTGACCCGAACCGACCCGAGGGCGCGGAGCAAGAACGGGTCCCAGGGCGGCGCCGTGTACCTGCCCCGGCCGAGGCCTCGGCACGTGGCCCCTGCACGAGCCACGGCTGGAGGTCGGACCGGCCTCTCCATGGGGTCGGACCGACCTCCAGATGGGTCCGGTCCGAGCTCCAGATGGGCTCAGCCCGGCCCCCACAGCGCGGCCTGGTCGCGAGACCGGGCGCGGTCAACTCCAAATCCAACTACCCCCCGTTTTAGGGGGAGGCGGTTGGGGGGTTTGGCTTGTATAAAAGCCCCCTGCTTGTCCTAACAAGACACGATCTATCCTACTTACATACTTTGTAATAGCGAACCATTGTAATAGCCTATTTACGGCATTTGATATAATATACGGTCCTCACGATCTACGGTCCCTGCGACCTTACGACATCATTTCGTCCCATTTATATATTTCCATATTATGTTCTTATCCGGGTTTAATAATTCGGGCCACCCCGGGTTAATTAAATCCATCAATCCGAAAACATAATCGATTCAACCCATTCATCAATTGCACTATATAATATTCTTTGTTATAATTTATGTAATTGTATATCGATCCAAATATTCTTAAAATATTGTAACATATCTGTTTCGTGCAACGCACGTGTAATAATAATAATAATAATAATAATAATAATAATAATAATAATAATAATAAATAAAAAATCCAAGTCCCTTGATACCTGCTCCGCCGTTCAGTTCCTATTTTCACAGGTATCTCTCTTATATTTTTTATTTGATTTCTGCTTGTTCTCTACTTTGCACTTTTGTTGTTTTCCACAATTGTTCTTACCTCACAATTATAACTAACTTGAGTTATTCTTACAATATTTAGTAATTTTCTTAGTTTCATGTTTCTATGAATTTAATGTGTTTTAACATCATTCTAATTTCTCAAAAAAAAAAAAAAAAAAAAACATCATTCAAATTTTGATTTTCAGTGCACTGGAATTATTTTCTAGTACTGAAATATATTTCCAGTGCACTGAAAAATAATATTCCAGTGCACTAGCAATGATGGATTGTGACCAATAATGGATCGTGTCCAATAATTAACTATACAGTACTTGACACTTGTTCTTCAAATATTAACTATACAGATAGATGATTATTCATCTTGTCTATAAAATATTCCAAGTGAGCCAACTGAAGAATTAGTTGTGCAAAAAAGTCAACTAATGTTTGGTAATTAGTACTTAGTAGTATATTTAAACTTTGAATTGCTATTTTGTTATATAATGTTTAGACTTTAGATTTGGATTATGTGATTATGTGAATAGTATGTTCGAAAAATTAGGAAATGTTAAAATTTGGGGATCCTAAACCGAACCGAATTAAATTCGAATTGAAACCGAACCATTTCAAATCGAACCGAAGCCCGAAACGCCCACCCCTACTTGCGAGCTAAGTTATGCCAAGTTTTCATATAATTTTTTCCAACTCAGAGCCACTGTTCGAATTGTAAATCCGAATGGTAAGCTCACCATTCGGATGGCATGGCTCGGTTATGGTAACTATTCAGATGTGTCCGAGTGGTAGTGGACTGCTACTATTCGGTCAACTAAGGTTTAACCAAATGGTTGACCATTCATAACATTCATGCAACCATTCGTGGGTACTGCTCGAACTACCATTCGTGCGTAATGCTCGGAGTACCGTTCTGGAAATGTTAATTCTTATATGTTACGGAATTAATTGTGAATGAATTTCAATTTTAAATTTTAGAATTAATTTCCTGATTTTAATGATCGTCTGTTTTGAAGGTTACACAGACTGATTTTATTATCAATTTTAATGCCATGATTAAATGTTATTTAATCCATCAACTCCTATATAAGTTGTGGTTGAGCAAAAGATTTTACACACTAAAACTCTTAGCTTTTCTCCTCTCAAAACTCTGCTCAAACTTCGTTCTCAAACCAACCGTGTTCATCCCTTGTTCTCGTTCGCCGGGTTCTACTGTTTGAGTGCTCAAACTTAGAACCGTAGCTTGTTTTATCCTGGGAAACTTAGGCTACAAATCTCCTAGCACCAAAGGGAGGTAGCAAATAAGATTTTAAAGATAGTGTGGGTATCACACGACTCAAGGTAATCACTTAGCCCTTTACCTTTCGTTTTGTGCTTGTTAATTTTTTTTTCTTCAGAAATGTTATTTTCATAGTAATATTTCGTTAACAATTTTTATCAGAACATCCACTTTTGGTCCTAGCTAGTATTATTGTGGTCTGATCATTTTTGGACCTTTATCAATAAAACAATTTAAATATCATTAAAAACTATGGCATTTCGGTCTTCAATTATGATTTTTTTTAAAATAAACATAAAAATATAGCGGGTCAACCTACTTTGTATAAAAAAGATTGAAATATTTTTGTATTTAACGACATTTCAATGATTTTGTTGACGGAGGACTAAAAATGGTCATGCTACAATAATACTAAGATAAATGATGATGTTCTAATAAAAAAAAAACACTAAAAATGAACTGTCATCAATAAATCTAGGATAAAAATTGGAATTAATTCTTTAATTTCAACTAAGCTTTGAGATTAGCAATATCCAGTTTGCAACTTTTTTATACCGAATTTTTAATTTCAAAAGTTGTATAGTGTGAATCAAAAGTTAGTTAACTTGATACTTAAAATATGTATCATGAAAATTAAAGGTGGGACGATGAGTGGAAATCTGAATCTTTAATGACGGGCAAAAAATAGAAAAATTCGAATATTTTATTGTATATCTTAAATCTAAAAATAACATAAAGTAAATTAAAAAATTAATTAAGAGATCTTTGAAAATTTATATAGTATTAGTATGAAAAATATTTCATGGTTAATATATAATTTACTATTATATTTATAATATATTTTCGAATTAGTTCAAATTTCATGTCAAATAGTAGGGATGTTAATTGTACCCGCACCCGACGGGGAATCCGATTCTCCGCCCCTACGGGGACAGGGATTAGGACATAAATAGGGTATCGGGGATGGGGATGGGGACAGTTTTGAATTCCTCGCGGGGGACGGGGGCGGGGATGGGGAGTACTCTCCCCGCCCCGCCCCGTCCCCGATATATATGTGTGTGTGTGTGTGTGTGTGGCCACACAACACACACATATGTATTATTTTGTATACAATATATATAATTTTAGAAACATTCTTGTCATTGTATGTCATACTTATGAAATGCATATTTAAATAACATGTTTAATTGTAAAATATTGAATAATACTCTAAGTTAGGAATGAATATATATGCGTTCCATTCAATATATATATATATATATATATATATATATATATATATATATATTAGTACTCTTATTGAAATACTATAGTAATATAAATTTGCAACACATATAATTGCAGAAAAAGATGTGTTTTTTTTTAAAAAAATTTTATTTAAAAAGCTTTTACACTGTATTAGAATAACATGTAAGAACATATATGATTGCAATCATACACACAAAACATCCAAAAGTTATTTTCTATTAATTTTAAGGTTGAATCATATGATTTAGAGAGTAGATGAGATACCCTAGATCTAGATCTAATTTCAAATTTCAAATATGTAGAACAGAAGTTAAAAAAAATTGTGCATGAACCTTCTACAACAGCTACGTCCATATGTTCCTTCAAAAAATAGAGTTGGTCAGATCTCAGGAAACTGGAGAAAACCCCTAAGAACACGCCTCCATTTGAGTATAAATTTCTAAGCATTCTACTAAAAAACAATCGGAGACCAAGAAATTTGTACAAATATGTTCGACAGTTGCATGAAGTGAGATGGAGGTTTCTAGAGCTCCAAGCTCAGAATTGGGAGAATAGATGCAAGAACACGCCTCCATTTGAGTAAAAATTGTAAATCATTCTACTCAAAATTCAATTGGAGAACAGGAAATATGTCAAATTTGTTTGACAGTACAATTGTATGAACAAGAATACGCCTCCATTACTGTTTAATTATTAAATGTTATATTTTTAATATTTAAGTGATTTTAAAATATGATTTATAATCATATATTCAATCAATTTATTGTGATATCATGTGTATAGCTTATTATCATATATTCAATCAATTTGTTTATTACAATAGTACCTTAAATTAAAATATAATTTGTAGACCGCGCATTGCACATGTATAATGCTAGTATATATATATAGATCGATTTAAGATCATATGAGAACACCTGCTTAGGTGAGAACGTGAGAACAAATCGTGTACATCCATCTAATATTTTTTAATGGACTAGATTAGATTAAGTGTGTGCGAACGCGCATTAAATGTGTGCAAACACGATTAAGTGTGTTTGCACACATTTAATGCGCGTTCGCACACACTTAATCTAATATATACAATTAAAAAATATTTGATGGATGCACATAATGTGTTCTCATGTTCTCGCTGGAATCCTACACTCTCTCTCTCTCTCTCTTTCTATATATATATATATATATATATATATATATATATATATATATATATATATATATATATATATATGAGTGTATATCAATGCTTAAATATACACTCATAAATAATATCATCATTAACTTGAAACATTACTGTCGCATCAGAATTGAAGTAATATAACATTACTAGGCAATCTCATAACTTTTTTTTTAAGGTCAATCTTGCGATTGTATTAATGAATCAAAGCCGAAATAGCGTCAGGTGGGATAGCATCCCAGTACATAGCTTGATCCTGAGTAAATGCTAACGTAGCTAAAGTATGCGCATGTAAATTAACCTGCCTAGAGATGTAATCCAAAGTAATACGATTAAACAACGACATAAACGTTCTGCACTGGTCAACTGTGACCCCAACGTACGAGTGGATCGGCGTGTGATGGTGCCTGATTATCGCAGCCAATTCCATGCAATCCGTGAGTAAACTTACTGATATGTTGTCCCGCTCAAGTAGCCAGGACAAAGCCTCCTTGTATGCCTGGGCCTCCGCCATAAGTGGTGAAGAACAAATTGGTAACTTGTCATTCCTTGCTGCCACAAACGAGCCATCTGGTGCTATAATAATCATGCCGTAAGTAGCCTCGCCCGTATCGTGCCGGAAACCCGCATCCACATAACATCGTAGACCACCCTCCCCTGGACCGTTCAAGTGGTCCGTCGCCAGTGCCGGGTCGGTTCGGCGGACATGGGCAGCGCCGTACGCCTGCAGTGCTACGGTGGCTGCTCTGACCAATTGGGTAGGCCGCATCATTGATCCCTTCCAGATAGCTGAATTCCGGGTTCTCCAAATATAATATAATACTGCTATCATTAACCGGGTCTGTTCCTCCGTCAGGGCCGCCATAGCCCCTTTTAGCCATGATGTAAACGAGTCTGCAACAATATTAATAATAGGCAATTGTGTTATATTCCAAACAAGTCTAGAATATTCACAGAGCACTAAAGCATGCAACACATCTTCATGATCTAAACCACACATAGGGCAAGTTGGGTCCACCTCCACCCTTTTAAATATCAAGTTAAGGGTTGTTGGCAAAATGTCACATATGGCTCTCCACAAAAAAGTTTTCCATTTAGGGGGGACTTTTATTTTCCACATTGCAACCCACTTATCAAAATTCCCTGGATTATTCTCATAATCACCCACAATATGCCTATAGGCATTTTTTACTGTATATATCCCCTTTGGGTCACTCATCCAATACCATGAGTCCTCATACTCAAGACTAACAGGGATCATATTTATTCGCTCTACATCCTCAGGATTAAATAAATCAGACAAAATATGCGGATCCCAGGTATGAGTCTGTAAATCAATTAGTCCTGCAACTCGTGCCTCTCTCAATTGCTGTGGCATTTCTGTTTGAATCAATGGGCTAGGATTATCCCGTAACCACGGGTGCCCCCATATTAAAGTTGTCTGTCCATTCCCAATCCTCCTTCGCACCCCTGAGACTACCATTGCATGGGCTGCCATTATACTTCTCCAACAGTAACTTGGGCAGTTACCAATAGTTGCATCTGTAAAACTGGTTGTGGGGTAATACCTTGCCTTATAGATTTTAGCTACGGGTGTTTCTGGGTCTGTTAAAAATCGCCATGCCTGTTTACCCAACATTGCTAGGTTAAAAGCCCTCAGCTCTTTAAAACCCATACCACCATACTTTTTTGGTATGCACAACCTGTCCCATGCCTTCCAATGTATTCCCCTTTCTCCCCACCAATATTTATTCATAGTTCGCTCAATTGACTGACAAACTGTCTCAGGTAACAAAAAAACACTCATCGAAAAGGTAGGCATAGATTGCGCTACACTTTTCAGTAATACTTCCTTACCAGCCTGAGAAAGTAACCTTTTACTCCACGAACCAATTCGTTGCCTGATTTTTTCATCCACATACGAAAAAACAACTCTCTTATTTCTCCCTACAAAAGATGGTAGGCCCAAATATTTCCCAAAATTGGGTGCTTGCACCAATCCCAGACAATTTGCTACCTGTGCCCTGTCAGCCTCCTGGGTATTTCTGCTAAAACATATATTAGATTTATTATAATTCACCACCTGGCCTGACAATTTTTCATACCTTGCAAGGCACTGCCTTATAACTCCTGCTTCCTGAATATTTGTTTTAAAAAATAGGAGACTATCATCCGCAAAAAAATAGGTGTGATACAGGCGGCGCCCCCCTTGCAACTCTGCATCCATGTATTGAACCTGCCAACTGTTCATACTGTAATATCATCAAGAGAGCCTCTGCACAAATAATAAATAAATACGGAGAGAGCGGGTCTCCCTGCCTGAGTCCCCTGGTTGGTTTTACGTGCCCCCTGCTATACCATTAACCATTACAGTATAATTAACAGTCGTTACACACATCATAATGAGCTTTATCCACTTCTCACTAAAACCCATAACAGTCAGCATCCTTTCTAGAAAGCTCCACTCCATTCTATCATAGGCCTTTGACATATCTAACTTCAATGCACTCCATCCCACTATACCACATTGCTTTCTATTCAGATAATGCCCCACCTCTGCTGCCACCAGGATGTTGTCAGTGATTAGCCTTCCCGGGATAAAAGCACTCTGGGATTCTGATATCAATCCTCCCATCAGTGTTTTCATTCTATTCGCTATTATTTTGGCCATAATTCTGTAAATGACATTACTCAATGCTATCGGCCTTAGATCTGCAACTGTCTCAGGCATATCCTTCTTCAGTATCAAGACAATGTTAGTATCATTCAATCCCTCAGGGAATACACAGGAATTCAAAGCATTCATTATAAAGCCAGATACATCTCATCCCACTATCTCCCAAAACTGCTGGTAGAAACCCGGGTTTAAACCATCCGGACCCGGTGCCTTATCCGGATACATTGAAAAAAGAGCCTCTTTAACCTCATTAGTTTCAAAAGGGCGGTCTAGCATCATATTTTGCTCTAACGTTACTCGTGGGGTTAGGACTCCAAAAAGTGGATCATCACAATTCAATCCATTAGAGGCAAAAATATTTTCAAAGTAATTCTGTATAGCAGCATGCATATCATCCCCCTCCACCCAGTTACCAGCATCACATTTAATACTAGAAATAAAATTCTTTTTCCTACGTGCAGAGGCATACCTGTGATAAAATTTAGTATTTGCGTCAGCCCCGCGTAGCCAGTGCTGCTTGGCCCGCTGCCACCAAAACACATCCTCCTGGGCCTCTACTCGTCTCATGGTATTCTCAATCTGTTGGTACTCAGCTAACGCTACCATATCTCGTCTATTCCGTATGGCATCTTGCCTCCGCTGCAGGTGGTTAATTCGTTTTCCGAATTTATGAAACTGATCTCCACCCCACTGCATCAACTTTTCTCCACACAACTGCTGGCAATGCAGCAATCCCTCCGTTCTCCCTTCTTGCCAGGCCGTTTCTACTACTTCTTTGCACCCCTCATCTAATAGCCAAGCCATTTCAAATCTGAACTTCCGCGGCCCCCTTCTCCTTGGCATGCAAAACGCATTAATACTGAGGAATAGGATCGAATGATCCGAGGCCCGGGTTCGAATATTCTCCAGCCATGCATTCTCATTAAGCAGACCCCAATCATTCGTTATTAATGCCTTGCCCAATCTTTCCTGTATCCAATTCGGCGTCCCCTTTCCCTTCTGCCACGTATACTGATGGCCCCTCATTGGCATTTGCACCAAACCACAGTCATCCACAGCATCTCCGAAACCCCTTAACAGACTATTAGGATACGGATTTCCCCCCTTCTTCTCATTATCATTATCATCATCATCATCATCATCATCATCATCATCATTATTATTATTATTATTATTATTATTGTTATTATTATTATTATTATTATTATTATTATTATTATTATTATTATTATTATTATTATTATTATTATTATTATTATTATTATCATCATCAAAGTCTAGGAAAATGAGGGTAATCACATTAACTTGAAACATTACTGTCGCATTAGTATTGAAGTAATATAACATTACTAGGCAATCTCATAACTTGAACCACAAGATAATATAACATTATCAGACTCAAATTACTTGAACAAAATGCCTCCTAAATGTTATCAGTAGCAAAGCTCCTCCATTCACCATTTCTATAGAGAAGCAAATGTAGGGGTATATTTGGTTCATGGATTTAGATATAAGAAATATGAATAAAAATCATACATACTGTTTGGTTGACAACTTTTAGAAACATAAGAATAGGATTTTAATACTCCATTCATTAAAAATCTCATTACCTAATTAAATTAATGTATCTATCATTCCCATTATTCTGTCTTATCCCCTCCTCACTTTATCGACATCTCCTCACTGTACTCGTATTTTTAGCATAGTGCTTTGGATTTTTTTTTTTTTTTTTTGTTGTATATTTTAGATGTCAGCATGTTAGGATCAATTGTCTTGATTTTTTAAAAAAATAAAATTAAAAACCTTTATTCCGATTAAAGTTATATACATGTGTCCAAATAACAATATTGATAATGATTTCATTTTCAGCCTACTACCAAAAATGCAAAATACTTTTACCAAAACATATATATTTCACATTCCCACGTTGGAACCAAGCGCCCTTAAGTTTATACTAGATGGTTACAACATGGCTTTCATTGGTTAGGAATATGTCTTAAGGAGCATTTGGTTCTGATTATATCAAATAATCTCGATAATGTGCGTATCGAAATGTTATGTGCATTTGTTTGGTTCATTTGAATATTAGGCATTTTTAGAGAACCAAATACCCACTTAAGGATATTCCGACTATTATTCATGCAAATCTTATTGGCATTGCGTGACAAAAAAAATTAAAAAATTAATTTAGTACTTTATTTTCTTTATAAAAAATGAAGTGTGAGAAAGAGATTATTATATGTTTATTTGATGAAGAGGTCTGACTAGTTTGCATGCATAAATTAGATTAAGATAATAAATGTTGTGTGCTAGATACGCCCTAATTAATAAGTTAATATGTAATGAAAGGAAAAGATAAAACATATTTGTCCATTCTAATCAATAGGAATATATGTATGTGGGAAATGTCTATCTGCATAGCAAAGAGGATAAGATTAGAAATAATTGTTGAATTAGGTCATGGTGCTGATGTTACGTGTAAAGTCACAACAATCATTGTTCCTGTAGTTTTCCAACATTTCCCTTTCCATCTCTCTCTATATCATTTGCTCTCTCATTTTATGTCAAATTCAGTTAATAAGACTTAATTAATATTATTTTTAATTAATTTTTTCATAATGTTAAGTTTAGTATATATATATATATATATATATATATATATATATTTATATATATATATATATTTATATTATAGAAATTATATTAAATGTATTATTGAACACATAAATTTAAATTTAAAAATAATTAAAAATGTTAAAAAAAATAAATAAAATACACATGTCAAGTAAAATGAGATAGAAAAATATTAAGTTGTAAGCTAAAGTGTTATCCCGTACCATGAACCATTCTTGATTATTCATGCCGCACCATGATCTTTAATAAGTGATATTTAAAGCCATAAATCATAATTATTTTTCGTCTAGAACTTTTTATAGGTTTTCTACAGGTTACCGGTAATAATATCGCTGAAATGGAGTTTTTTATTAGTTTTTTTTGGTATTTTCTTCTTTCGTCATCGTATTAATTTTTTTTTTCGTATTTTTTCCTAAACGTATAGGCCTGCTCTGCGTTTTTACTTTTTGTTTCTCCGATCAAGCCTGCTTTGCATAGGCCTGCTCTGCGGAGTTTGGTATCGGAGAAATGAGAAGCGAAATATGCAGAGCAGGCCTATATGTTTAGGAAAAAAGAAAAATACGAAAAAAATTATAATACGAAGGTGAAAGAAGAAAATATATAAAAAAAAAACTAATAAAAAATTCCATGTAAGTAATATTATTACCGGTAACCTGTAGGAAACCTATAAAAAGTTCTAGATGAAAAAAATTATGATTTATAACTCTAAATATCACTTATTAAAAATCATAGTGTGACATAAATAATCAGAAATAGTTTATGGTGCGGGATGACACTTAAACCTAATTTGTATTATTATTTAAATTATTACAAAGGAAAACACTATATGTACTACTGAAAATATATTATCACCACAAAGACTACACTGATTAGACAAAATGAAATAAAGAATATAAAAAGAAATACATCTCGAAATGTCACAAGAATCTCACATCATCTATAAAAATGTCACATTTCTAGAAACCGAGTCATTATTGAATGGACGTCTGGACCACAAATAAAAAATATATTATTTGTGTATATAAAGTATATTATTTGAGTACTAAAGTACATTATTTAGTATACTATCAATAATGTATATTCAGTACATAAATAGTGTACTTTTAGTATATTAAAAATGTACTTTATATTCAGAAAAAGTACATTATTTAAATACTGAAAATATATTATTTCGTATAATGTACATTCAGTACACAAATAATATATTTTTAGTATATTAAAAATGTATTCCCCTGTCTCATTTTGTCCTACTTACTATTCATTGGTCAAATAAAATTTTTTTGTTTATTTTTTTTAGTATTTTTTTTATTTTTAAATTTGATTTTCATGTTTAATAGTACTTTTAGTGTAGTTTCTAAATATAT